TGTTTACCTACCTACACTCACCTACGGCGGAGAAAGCTGGACAATGCTAGACAGGCACTCTAGTCGCATAACGGCAGCAGAAATGAGGTTACTTCGAAGATCTGTTGGCAGAACTAGAAGGGATCGCATTAGGAATGAAAGCATTAGAGAGCAGCTAGGAGTTGCCGAACTTAAAACTACTCTAGAAAGACGGCAACTACAGTGGTTTGGACACGTCTGCCACATGAATGAGAATTTGAATCCTATAAGGATATTAGAGGCTTGACCCACAGGAAGGAGACCAGGCGGGCGCCCCAGACTCACGTTCCAGGAGTATATTCAAAGGATTGGATGTAAAAGAGGCAAAACCCTTAATGAGATGAAGCAGCTAAGCAGTGACTGGGAAGAGTGGTTACACTGGTTGAGGCTGCTAGACGCTAGCTAATGGCATAAGAGGAAGAGTTTACTAAAGTACACATTTAACACTACTAAAGTTTACATTTAGTCAGCAAATTTCATTTAATTTCCTTGAAAACATGTGATTTACATTAAATAATCTTAGTTTTAAGAGATTATTATTTATAATTTTTTCACCACTCTCCGTTACCTTCTACAAATCTCTATAGTAGATGTTTGTTTTTTTAAATTGTCAGCTATACAACAATATATAATAGATATGCCTTCTGACTAGTATTTCCTGAGATTCATTTTCGACCTGGATAAGCATTTTAATATTCTTCTCCTTTATTCAATTATCAAATTCTTTCAAAAGTTATATTTAGCATTTTTTCATAACTTTTGATAGTGAGGGATAATTAGTTATAATTTAATTGAAATTAATCATATTAAAGGTACTTTAGAGGAAGATATATATGAACATAGGGTATTTAAGCCCTGTAAAGTGACATCAGCAGGGATAAGACCTAAATGATATTAAAGAATACTTAATTATACAATGCTCCACAGAGTTTAAAATCGTTAGAGCAGTTTTTGAGAAAATGTAAAAATGTGTTTCAGAGTTGATATAAAGTGGCACTTCTGGTAAGCCGATTTTAAGGAAAAAGTTGCTAGGACATCTAAGTATCTTAAATATGGAATATTAGTTTCCCATGACTTCGTTTTGGAACTGGAGTGTTCACATACACACAGACCATTTTTAGGGACTTTGTCATTTGGACTCAGGGTACCTCAAAACATGTATTTCCATTGAAAACTCATGACTCCAGAATTTTCAGGATCACAATACTTACCCTTTCTATATATTACACATATATAGGTAAGTGAAAGTAAAAAACTATATATATATATATTTTCTTTACTTATAATATATTATATATAATATTATTTAACCTATTTTTAAATGAAGTTATAGATTAAGATGAAGAATGATTGATTAATTAGAATGTAAAGGAACAATCAGAACAGAATGAGCCCATACACCTTGTGATCTCTAATTTGGTATAGAATAAAAATTTTCTGAAACTGAAAAAATTAATAATTAAAAAAAAAATAGTATAACCCAGTGAAAACTCTCACATTTGATAGGCATTCTTTTCTCTGATGAATTTGATGTTTAGTAAAACATGTTGATTCATCTACACTGTATAATATTATCACAATAGTCTATTCTAGAGGAATAATCTGTGAAGCTTCATACTTAACCAAGACTGTTACAGTAATAATTTACTTAAGTGATTATAGCTTGCTCAACAGGAAAATATTCTTTCTTTCATAGTTGAGCTGTAAAATATACCTATTCCTGAACTTATACTAATCCATTATTGTATTCACTCGAGAGCTATTAAGTTTGTTGCTTTCTCCCTTTTAAACAGTAAAGAAGCCATACCTGATTATTTTATTTATTTATTAAAATTATCAAAAAGTTTTTTTTTGAAATATCCAAGGTACCATAAGATCTTCTTCATAGCCATTCTCTTCCATTTACCTTTTCAACAGATTTTTAGTTTATTTAAGCCTATCTAAATGTCAATATTTTAATTTTTAAAACCAACCATTTTGAAACCATCTGTTTAAAAAACCTCACAATTTTTTCTGTGACTTTTTATTGATAATTTAAATTGTGGGAATTTTAGGATTAAAACTGAGATTTGTCACTCATCCAAAATTCCCTTCCTTTTGATACCTCATTTGCCAAAATCCATCGCTCCTGAGAGTTGAAGAGATCAACACTACAGTATTATATATTGTGTAGACTAACCTCAGTTCATAAAAGACAGTCCCAAGATTGCAATTATGCATAAGCTGTATTTTGAAAATTGTTTATACCTACCAGTTTATCTGACCAGGTCACAATTTAATCCTACATTCATTAAACAAATTACTGTGGTCTCATTTAACTAGCTTTATATTTTTATTTCTAAGGGGAGCAACTACATACTCTTCTCAATATTTTAAACACTTGTTCATAAGTAACAATGGAAATTATTTCGCACAAAAAAAAATATTAGCAAGCAGATAGGTATTGATACCCATCATAAGAATTAGGACGTGAGATCTACTCCAATCTTGACCACTAACATAGTAAAATAGTTTTTCAAGCAGATTATCAAGCGATTACTATGTTTCTAGGTGTTTACCCTGAATGCAATATGACACCAGTTACCTCTTTCTTCCTGGCCGCCTCTTAGGCTTCTTCTTTTTCCAATGTATCTTATAGCCTGTTCTTCCTTTGTCTCAATTGAATCCTGATCGACACTTAAAATAACTGAGAAAGTAATTAATTGCTAACAAAAATGTTTATAAATCAAAACAGAAAAATCAGATCTTGATTCATAAAAATGTAAATAACAAGATATAACAATAACTCAAAAAGATGTGCAGAGTGGAAGAAAGGTACCCTTAATAATTGATGTGCAGAGTGAAATAACAGTAATATTGAAGAGATTTAAAATGGTCATTGATAAAAGAAAATCTGATTATTTAAATTTTATTACGTTATATATTAGTATATAACACTAAAATAGTCTACAAAATGTTGCCATAAAACAAATAAATCTGCTTCTATTTAATATAAAACAAACATCTATAAAGTCCTATTTTCATTAAATTGACTAGTCACTAGTTTTAAAACAAACAAGGGAAGGAGACAATGAAGTTCTTTAAATTAAAGCTTGACTAAATAATAATATTAACTAATACATATTGCAATGACTGTAATATTAATAGAATAATTTTATTCCGAACTAAATATATTTTTTAAAATTTATTTTCACTTATCAAGTTTTGGATTTTTATTCTTTAGCTCTAATCTTGAATTGAATATAGGAGGTATTATGTTTCATTATTTAATTTAAAAAGTACTTTAATCTAATTAAGTGATTAGAAGTATATCACTATTGTTAGTGCAAAAGATTGTACATAAGTTTGTGATTATTAGGGAGGCAGAACGCTTAAAACAAATTCCAACAGTTTATACAAGCATCACAGCTACTAACTGGGCATGGAAGCTTTCAAGTCAAGCTCCAGGATCATAGCCATGATACTGACCCTTGATGCTCCAGATGTTGCGAACCAGAGTGAGCCGAGTTTGTCTTATTGCCTATACTGGCTATGAAGCACTCAGAGCCAAATTGCTAAACAGCATTTTAAAAATTAACTCCCTTTTCCAAAGTTGTAGGCTCTTGAAGTGAGATGTGTGTGACACCTTCATGGTAACACTATTGCACTATAATAGGGATGCAGAACCCTCAAAACAAATTCCAAGCTGCTGTTCGAGATATTTCAATGTCTTCCAAACTTGACCTTTCATAATCTCATTTGATTATTCTAAAATTTTGAGGAAAAAAAAAAAAAAAAAAACTCCCCAAACTATTATATTTCAGTTTCTCAAATGTCAATATAGAGTTAATTTATCTAACTTATTGATGAAATTAAAAGAAAAAATGCAGAACATTGTTCTTATTGTTAGTTGTAAAGATATGATTTGTGTTTATTTCATTGGTAAAACAGAAAATTTGTGATTTCATTTTTAAAAATCCAACAAGAAGTGAATGTGGTAAGGCTATAGCTGACAAACTGTTTATAATGGTATGGAGATGGTTGACCGTACATTCTGATTTCAGAAAAAGTTAGTCGGGGTGCAGTCAATATATAAAATACTATATTATATAATAGTAAGGTTATGGCATTGTCCAAACTGTTTACCTCTCTAAAAGGCACACAATGTTACCAAATCATTGCAACAGTGACAGCAGGTGAAAACCATCTCGACTCCTGATAAGTCAGATTAGGTACAGTTCAGAGTTGCACCTATAGTGCAATAATATTGTTACTTCTATATTACATTTTCCTATTTAATGAAGTAACAGTTATTATACATATTTTTAATAACTTTATAATTATTAGTAATAAAGTTATAAGGTTTATCAATATTTCATAAGAAATATAAACTCTACATCATGATGTAATTATAAAATAAAAAAAAAAAAGCCCACCATAAAAATTTCCTCTCCATCCCTTATTTGTTTTGTATTTTCAAATTTTTTTTTTTGTTTTTTAGCAAGTAATTCTGATAGCGCTATCAAATATAGATATATGTATATATATTTTTCTCAATATTATTGATATATAATTTCTATTTAAAATATGCTATTACAGAATAAAACAAAAACATAAGGCATTTCTTCAAATACAACTACCATAACTAATATGAAGGAACTTTGGTTTTTTCTTAATTTTTTTAAATATAGTTCATTGTTTCATGATCATTTCCCGAAACAATCTTAAAGCTAAAGTTAAGGAAACTGTAGTTTGCTGAAACTACATTAAAGCCTATTATGTATTCCATTATTATCCTAGTAACTGCAAAACTTAATGTGAAATCTTAATTAAATAATTATGCTATTCAATAGGTTATAAAAACGTATCACTGGTTCAGTTTTGCAGTATGTTTAACATCATTATACTTCATTACATTTCATTAAAAATAAATTATTATAAATTCAACAAACATTAAACTATCAACATCTTTTCAAAAATAACAAAACCTAATCAGTTTATCACTAGTCAAAAATTCATAACAGATAGGAATATCGTTGATGCTATCAAATAACAAAATAAACATTTTAACAATTTTAAAACTAACATGGTATAAATTATACAATTTACAAACATCCTTTCTAAAAATAAGATAAAATAGGACTATACTATTAAGATCAGCCAATGACAAACATGTTGACTTGAATAGATTTTTCTTAAACTAGTTAATAACTAAAACAAATGTCTTCTTTTGATATTTGCAGTTTAATTATAGGTTTTCCATTCAATCTAAAATCAGCATTAAATATTATTAATTATCATAATGAAAATATTTTTATCATTATAATTCTTATAATTAAGATCTTTTGACAAAGAATTTTATAATTATTGCTAAAGAACTCGAAGCTAAATTAGGAAAAGAAGCACTTTATCTTTCAGTAATTGGTCAGTATACCCTAAATGAACGACAATGTTTAGAGGTTGCTAAATTTTGCAGTCTCATATACCTTAATTATTGGCAGTATGCTCTTCTCTCAAAAAAGGACTTACTAGAACATGGATCTCACTGGATGGGTGCACTATAAATAAGACTGACCATAACCTATTTAGCAGTTATAATAGGCCCAATTTAACTAATGTCGGGTCTTACAGGAATGGCACAGTTGATGCCGCCCATTAGTTCGTCATAGCACACTTACTTGAAAGGATCTCAATGACAAGAAAACGCCTGAACGATCCGAAAAGTTCGATGGGCATAAGTTCAAATTTCCCAATGAGGTTCAGAATGGACATATTAAGACATGGGAGATCAGGCTTCAATTAAAAAAACAACATGAAGACACTCAACCAGCAGTGGATTTCAGACCATGAACCTATTTAATGGAGTAGAACAAATAAGTCAGCATTCCAGGAAGACCAACAAGTTAAAGTTAAGTCCTAGTTCAGTATGTGATTATGCAACACAGCTGAAAAATTATGGCTACAAAATGATGAAGTGAAGAATAAGTGTTTCAATGGAATATTATTGCACTAAGAGGAGAGTAAAAAAGTGAAACAAAGTCAAGAAAAAACAGGTGCTAAAAAAAAGAGATGCTAGTAAAAGCCAAAAGTATTTAAAGAAACACCAGCTACCGGGACAATGACAAGACTCTGCTCTCAGAAAGAAAAAAAGTTTTAATGAGATCTATAGAACATTTCAAAGCTCACATTCTACAGGTTCTTAATGAGCAAAGCTCAGATGAACACCTTCATGAAGGGGAAGATATAAAACAGAACTGCCTGACCGATGAGTTTTGATTTAATTTCTTAGAATGAAAAGATACAACATGAACAGCATAAATCCATTTTATGTACCATTCATAAAAAGGGGATCACCTGGAATGCTTAAATAAAAAATATTTCACTTCTCTCTGTAGCGTATAGTAGTTTCTCTAATATATTATATCTAAGACTACCCCACCACTCCAAGCAGATTCTCAGTCAATATAAATGTGGATTCACATCTGGAAGGTAAATGACTGATCAATAGTTTAACCTTTTAAAAAACTTAAAATCGATCCATCCTTTTGCTCAAAAAATCGTTACATACCTTATAGCGGACAACCCAAACACATAACACTCATGTTGCTCCACTTTAAAAAACTCAGATGATCTCCCTGATTAATTTAAGGTATCAAACTTAAAAATTGATAAAACACACTTTATTTAATCATTATTTTTAGCTCAATTTTTTTCAAAACACTCAGAGGATCTCACCAAATAATTTGAGTCATCAAAATTGAAAATTGATCCAGCCGTTCGCTTGTAATATACATTACATAGCTTTTAGCGGGCAACCGAAACCCATAACCCTTGTGTTGCTTCGCTAAGTCAGATAAAAATATTGTGTGTTCTCAGATTTAAAGATTGCAAATAATGGTATTAAGAAAGAAGAGTTGTACCTGGGTATGGTGGGAAATGTATTGCAAGAATATGAAATGAATAATTTTTCAGAATCAGAGGCTGGAGTACAGCAGGGTGGCGTTAAACAATTTGTTAAACATTTGTCTAGAGTAGTGTGAAGGATTCTGGAATACAGAACCTTTATCTTGAGAGCAACTGGAGAAGAACAAATCAGCAAATGTATGGTTTATAAGAAGACCCTGATATTACTAATTATATAAGTGCTGGGCAGTGGCTCTGTAAGACACAACAAATGTCAAGAATGTCGAACCTAGAGATCTCCTAAATGATCATATCAGAAAAGATACATGAGACAAGGAAGGAGGTCTTGAAAAGATGGGAAGATAGAGTGATCCAAGAAGCCAAGAAAAGGCAGGGTGTGCGGAACTGGAAGGTGGCGCCCCACAACAGAGATGAATTGTGGAGGTTTATTTTGGAAGAAGTTTAGGCGATAATCGCTTCATAGAGAATTCCGTTATCAACTTTTACTCGTTCTAGAAATAAATAAATCTAGAATGAGTTCTTGAACTATAGAACCAAGAAAAGTTTTTAGTTCTATAATAAGCAGTCATAAGAGGTTTTGAAATTAATTATTAACAAATAAAATGTGTTGAAATAAACAGTGATAGTTAACTAAAAAATAAACAACGAAATGTAAGCAGTTTGGTTTTT